CACCCGGGGAGACGCGAGAGGGGTCTGAGCACTCGGCAGGCGTCAGCTGTGCCCGTCTTCTCCACGTTGGCAGCGGTGGTGGGGTGTTCAGAAGTGGCCCTCCCTTTTTGTGAGCTTCATGCCAGCAAACTGCCCTCAAGGTGGACCGGAGGTTGGGGGCAGGGGCACGTACACGTTTCTGAAAATGTGAAAGTTCGTTTTGTTTTTCCAAAGGACAGAGGGCGACGTCAAGAAGCGCGATGGCGTTTCCGTTTCGCCCGGCCGAGGGGGAGCTGGCTGGCAGGTGGGCTGCAGCTGAGGCCCGAAGGCACGCGGGCAGGACACCGAGAGAAGCTGTCACCACTTCGGCCAAGATGCCGAAGACTGATGCAGGCAGCTCTCCTTCCCAGAGGAGGCAAAGTCCCTGCTGGACAAGAGTGCGGTCGGTCGTGAGGTGCTGCCCAGCCCGTCTGGACTCCGTGACCCCGTGGACGGCAGAAAGAAACACTGCCCGGTCCTGCATGACCTTCGCCGCCATTCCCAGTTTGAGCCCATGGTGGGGGGGGTCCGTGGTGACAAGTGACTTCCTCTTTTCCCCACGAACCGAACTTGACTGGTTCATGCCGTGTCCGGCCGGAGTCGGCGGGAGTCACCATCGTCCTCTCTGAGGCACAGTCTGGCTGCCCTTCTCCCAAGATGGGCTTGTTCCTTCTTCTGGCAGCTCTGTGCTTGTTGTTGGGTGCCATCGAGTCCGCAAGCCTCAGAACAACAGAACGAAATGCCACACGGCCCCGCGGCATCCTCACAACCGTGCCTCTCCCTGAGCCCCCGTGTTGTGCCACAGCCAGTGCCCACCCACCTCTCGGAGGGCCTCCCTCTCGCGCGCACGGCCCCTCCACATTACCAAGCATGACGCCCTTCTCCAGGGAGCCTCTCCTGACGCTGTGTCCAAATACGTGAGACAAAGTCAAGTCTCTCCATCCTCACCTTTCAGGAGCCCTCTGGAAAGTAAGAGGAACTAGAGGAAAGAGCCAGGAGGCCAAGGACACTTCTAGAAGTCTAAATACAGGCATGTGCATATGTAAATACATTTATAGATAACGATAGGGAAATAGATCTATGTACATAGATTTATGTTAAGTATCAAGGTAGCAGAGGGACATTAGGCCTTGACTCAAGTACTCCCTCAACGCAAGAACACATCGTTCTAATGATCCGGCATTCCGTGATGCTCAGCCGCGCCACACAATCACTGAAGACAAAATGGGTGCATAAGCAAACGTGGCGAAGAAAGCTAATGGTGCCTGGCTATCAAAAGATACAGCATCTGAGGTCTTAAAGGCTTGAAGATAATCAAGTGACCATCTAGCTGAGAAGCAACAAGCCCACACCAGCCTGTGTGATCATGAGGTGTTGGTGGGATCGGGTATCAGGGATCAAAGAACCAGAACAAAAAATCATATCAATGTGAATGAGGAGGGGGCGCGCAGACTAGAGACCAAAAGTCCATCTATAGACAATTGGACATCCCCTTTCAGAAAGGTCACTAGGAAGAGAAGAACTAGTCAGGGTGCAGTATAGCACCAATGAAACATACAACTTTCCTCTAGTTCTTTAATGCTCCTCACCCCACCCCTCCCCACTATCACGACCCCAACTCTACCTTACAAATCCGGCTAGATCAGAGCATGTACACTGGTACAGATAAGAGCTGGAAACATGGGGAATCCAGGACAGATAAACCCCTCAGGACCAATAATGAGAGTAGCGATACCAGGAGGGAAAGGGGAAGGTGGGGGGAGAAAGGGAGAACCGTACTGTTCACAATGATCTACATATAACCCCCTCCCTGGGGACAGACAACAGAAAAGTGGGTGAAGGGAAACATCATCAGTCAGTGTAAGACATGAAAACAAAAAAATTTATAAATTATCAAAGGTTCGGGAGGGAAGGTGGGTGGGGGAGAGAAGGGAAAAAATGAGGAACTGATACTAAGGGCTAAAGGGCTACTTGAGCTAAAGGGCTCAAGTACAAAGAAAATGCCTTGAAAATGATGATGGCAACAAATGTACAAATGTACTTGACACAATGTATGTGATTGTTGTGATAAGAGCTGTATGAGCCCCAATAAAATTTTTTTTTTTAAAAAAGGAACCCTCTGGTCGTACTTTTTCCAAGACAGACAGACTTGTTTGTCCCTTTAGCAATCCATGGTACTTTCAATATTCTTCTCCAGCACTGCAATTCAAACACTCAGGTCTTCTTCGGGCCTCCTTATTCAGAGCCCAAATTTCACATGCATATGAGGCGATGGGGAGTACCATGGCTTGGGTCAGCGCACCTTGGTCCTCACAGGAACATCCTTGCTTCGGATGACCCCGTGCTGTGCATCCTTTGTTCTCTTGACTGCTGCTTCCATGAACAGTAGTTGTGGATCCAAGGAAGACAAACACTTGTCCCTCCATTTATCATGCTGTTCCCTGCTGGCCCACATGTGAGGATTTGGGTCTTCTTCACACAGCGCTGTGATCCCGACTGCAGGCTGCGATCCTTGATCTCCATCAGCAAGGGCTGCAGGTCCTCGCTTTTAGCACGCAAGGCTGCGTCTCCGCTTAGCTCGAGTTGGTGATAAACCTTCCTCCCATTCTGATGCCGCATTCTTCTTCCTATACGCCACTTTCTCCGACTATTCGCTCAGAATGTCCATGGCAGCCGCAATAGTCAAATGCATCAAACTCATCTTCATTCTCCCCTACTCATTGCCTAGCCTTGATGCCTGCGACGTTTGAAAATACCATGGCTTGGGTCAGGCACACCTTCGTCCTCAGAGGGACATCTTTGCCCTTGAGCAATGTACAGAGGGCTTTGGCAGCAGACTTGCCCCGTGAAACACATCACGTGAGTTCTTGACGGTAGCGTCCATGGGTGTTGACTGTGGACCGAAGTCCGATGAAATCGGGACACCGTTCACCTTTTCCCTGTTGATCATGATGTTGCGTGGTGGCTCAGCTGCGCGGCTGTCATCTTCCTTGGGTTGGCGTGTGATCCACCGAAGGCTGTAGGCGTTGCTCTTCTTCGAGCGCAAGGGCTGCCAGTCCTCCGACTTTCGGCCAACAAAGCCTATCTGCCTACTGCAGCTCGTTAACGCGTCCTCCTCCAGCCCTGATGCCCAGTTCTGCTTCATGTAGCCCCACCTCTGGGATTGCTTTACACCGAGTGAAAGAAACCAAACACCAGGGCAAACCTTACGTGAGATCTTATTTACATGAACTCGCTAGGGTTGGGGAAGTATGCAGAAGCCAAAGTAGGTTAGAGGGCTTGGGGGGAGGGGAGAAGGGGAGGGTCCTGGCTAAGTTTCTGTTTGGGTGGATGAAAACGTTTTAGAAAGAGATGGTGACGCAACACTGGGAAGATAATGAAATGCCATTGAATCACACATTAAAAATGATTCCAATGATGAATGTTATGTTTTATCTACTTTACCGACTTTTTTTTCCTTACGTTTGGGACATAGGGGAGCCGCAGCGGCACTGTGGTTATGTTGGGGACTGGGATCCCACAGGTTAGCAGTTCAAAACCACCAGCTGCTCCACTGAAGAAAGATGGAGCTTTCTACTCCCGTTAACAGTTACAGTCTCGGAAACTCACGGGGGACGGTTCTACCCTGTCCTAATAGGGCCACTGTGAGTTGGCATTGAGTCAGCATGAGAGGGCAGTGAGTGTTTTGAGTTGGAGGACATACACAAACACACCAACACACGCACACACATGCATACACACACAATTACATGCACACACACACATACACTCACCTGCGCACTCACACACTTATTCTCACAAAGCCAGGCGTGTGCTCTGCAGGGCTGAGACGTAGCTGGAACGCACGCTGCAGGGCTGAGGCTGGAGTGCAGGGGCAGCAGATGACGTGAGTGGATGACTGAGGTAAGAGGCTAGCGTGGGATCCCGTGGAAATCACAGCCCCTTTCTGACACGGGAGGCTGGGACTGAGCGTCTCTCGTGACATCAGGAGCTGAGAAGGACCGGCCGGTCCATGAACAGGAAGTGAAGATTCTGCCCACCAGCCTGGGGTGGAGCCTAGAGAGCAGCCAGCCTCGATCAGGCCGGAGGTCAGTAGACTCCGGACAGCGTGGAAGTCATGGAATACAGGAAGAAGTTGCTGAGAAGCTGCAGGAAGAATCGGTCCAGATGCAGAGAAAGAGCTCAAATGGAAAATAAAGCTAGGCAAGCATCAACTCCCGGAAAAACAAAGAGGAAATCTAAGCGGCCTCACCGCTTGGCTCAGCCGCGACCACGAGTTCCATAGTCAGGGTAGTGCCAGCGGTGACTGCAGCACAGACTTGGGAAGTGAATTGTGAGGGAAGATGGGGGCACGTAGGAGCAGGAGGCGGCGGCACCAGGTGTCGCACACCCACCGTGTCCAACCTCAGGAAACCAAGAAGAACACATTACTTAGAAAGATGGAGCTTACTAAGAACTGAAAGTGGCCCAAACCAGAACACCGGGCCATGGCGGTGGCAGGGGAGGCCAGTGTGCCCCACAGATTCATGAGATTGTCCTAACTTTGAGGGATCTTTTAATTCTTTCCATTGAGGGGGTTGATGTATCCATACTGCTTGGTCAGAAGGCTAAACTGAGAAATGACAAAGGACAACAAGCTCCTGGGGCCACCAAAACACACCTTGGTTTGGGACATTGAAAAAGAAAAGAAATTGAAAAAAGAAAGAGAAGAAACACATGCTTAAAACCAATCAATGAGATAAGGGAGATGGAAGCCACCAAAAGGGTGCAGTGGGCTGATGGCACCCAGTCCTGTCAATCATGGTTTCTGGACGCTGCTCAATGGGGCTGAGCCTCGTGGAGCCTGCAGTCCCTCATCGGGGAAGAAAGTGGTCATAGCAGACTGAGGAGCCGCAAGGTCATTTTCATCCTCTGAGTGCTGATGAGGGGCTTCGTGTCTATCAACCTTCTCTGTTGTTTCTGTCTGGGCCTTTCAGGTGGGGCCAGGAAAGACCTCCCCTATGAACGCTCCTGTGGGGTCCAGTGGTCAGAACCTGCACCAGGGGGCTCGTAGGTCCGAGACCTGCCGGGTGCATTCAGCTGCGATGGTGCTGGTGATATGTGCTGCAGAACAATTGGCCTGGTGGCCCTCTCATTGCTCTTGTTGCCTTGGGAGTAAAGGGTTAGCCCAGGCCTTAAGGGGCCTCAGAGGGAGATTGGTCACCTCTCCCTGACGCCATGCCCCTGTCAACTCCGCTCCCGTGGCTGACGGCACCCCGACAGGGCCTGCCCCTCCCCAGGAGGCGCCCTACCCTACCTGGAGGCAGGAGAGGGGAAAAAGTATGGCTAAGAAGTGCTCACCTGCCCACTGGCAACGCCAGACCAGGCATACTGAGGTGTAGCAGGTTTGGGGCAGAGTCAGGGGACAGTTGGTCACCCCATCCCACCTCTGGGCCCAGACCAAGGGGGTTGAGCAAGGCTGGTTTCCACACTCTCTCCCGGCAGGAGGCAGAGCCCCTTGCTTGGACCCTGCCAGGGACCTGGAGCCCTCGAAGGCTGAGAGTACCACAGCAGGAGGGCGTCTTGTGCCCCAGACCTTGCTGGGTTATCCTGACCAGCCTCATGGTCTGGCTCTCGGGGCTCGTCTTCAGCCTGTGCACACCACCGGGCCCTCTCAGGAGGCCAGCCTGGAGAGGACCTGCGTGTGGGTGTCCCTGCCCTGCGGCCCACTGCCCACCCGAGCCTGCTCCCTGGAGCATCCTGTGCTGCTCTGGAATGTATCATGTGCTGGCCACGGCCCACCTGTGGTTCCAGCCGGATCAGAGGGCACTGCAGGACCTCAAGTACTTGGCCAGGCCTGGCCCCACCCCCACAGCCCAGGCCTACCCTCTTCCAGCCCCCCGAAACCTTGCCAAAAGGCCCATGAACGTGTAACAGGGGTCTTCCAGGGTTCCGTACTGTCCCCGGGTCCAGCTGGACCACGGCTACCATGGAGGTGTGACCCTTGGGCCTTAGCACCTTCTCCTGGTCACCATTGGCACCGAAATGTAACCCTGTGTATTGGAGGAAGGGCCACGGGGGCTGGGGGGTCCCCAGGCTGTGCAGGCCTCCTCTCATGACATTCATTCTTACCCCACCCCCACCCCAGGGCTTGGGATGGTGACACCGCCATCCTGGATCTGCTTAGCCTGTCAGCTGGCACAGGGGCGGCAGCCGGGAAAGGCTGAGAGCCCCTGCAGGGCGTGGGCTTGGGGCTTGAAGAGCCACTACAGTGACCCCAACAGCTGTGGAGGGTCAGCAAGGGGCCTCCAGACTCACGGGCTCTGACTGGCCAGGTGAGGTGACGCCAGCCTTCAGCTGCACGGAGGGCATGCATCTCTGGGCCATGGGCCTCCCAGCCCTGAGCATGTCGCTCTCTGCCCCTAACCTGCCCTCCTACCAGTATTAGCCACCTCCCTGCCCTGTCTTCTCCGCCACATGCCCGGGCTCCCAGCCCATCCTCACCACCACCATCCCTGGCCAATGTGGGGACCCCACCTCTCTCCACTTACCTCTTGACTTGGGCATCCTGGGCCTTTGGGACAGAGTCTATCCCCCACCCCCACCCCGCCCCACCCCCAATCCTTACCCCATCCTTGTGCCTGCCCCAGCTGAGGGGGCTGGGAGTGGGGGCTGCCTCTTCCTTCTGTCTCGGCCCAGGCCCTCCCAGAACACTCTGACGACAGGCCAGCCAGACTTCCTGAGGGGAGCCGTGCGTGCTGCCCCGTTAGGCCTCCGGCAGCCATTGTGCAGGAGGGCACAGCCCGGAGGCCCTCCCCTGCCCTCCAGGCCCAGGACCTGCCAGGGGCCCCTGAGGTCTGCTGCAGCCCCTGCCCTCTGGCACCTGGTTCCCCCTGAGGGGACCTGCCTTGTTCCCAGCCTTTGGCGCGGGAGAAGCTGCTGGAAACCTGGAGGAGACAGGGTACGTGGGGACCAAGAGGCTGAAAGAGGGCTGGGGGACTGAATGTGTTATGATCCAGCCCCACTCTACAGTGCCCCCACCCCACTGAGTGAGTCACAGCCATGGAGCGACTAGGGGGGCTCCATTTGCCTATCCGCTCCAGGCCCCAGAGCTGCTCCTGGGGGGTGCTTGGGGTGATGGAGGCAAAGCCCTGGCCTCACTATCTTGCAGGCACTTGGGAAGGGGTGGTGCTGAGGAAGCAGGCAGACTCAGTGAGGGGCCAGCAGTGGGCCCACCCACCTGCATCCCAGGCCTGACTCCCTGGTTCCCCTCCCGGCAGCCCCAGAAAGATGATGGGGTCCAGGCCTGTGCCTGCTTGCCCTCCAGCTGCTGGGGCTGGTCCTGCTCCCCACCCGTCCGTGCTGGCTCCTCGCAGGCCCCTTGTGCTCACGCCCGTGTGGCTGGCAGGCCTGCGTGTGAGCTCACTCCTTACATAAGGCCTGTGAGCTCGTTCTTGGGGGACTCAGCTTCCAGCACATGGGGCGCAGTTTCCCTCTCCTGGGCAGGGCCTCCCACCCCTGCACACCATGTGCTGCTGAGCAGACCCCTGCCCGCCATGGGGCCCCCACCACCCACCCTTGGCTGCAGAAGAGGCTGCTGACCCCAGCAGGTCCCAGGACTTCAGCCGCCCTGAAAACAAGTGTGTTGTTGGTACAGGCAGGTGACAGCGGCTCTCCCCAGATGTCCAGGGTCGGGGCACCCTGGGGAGCCCTGGGGAAGACAGGGCTCCACCAGGGGGCATGCTTGAAGCGGTGACGCTCAGGGTGGACATGCCCACTGAGGGCCCTGCCCTACTCTCGCCCCTCTGCAGGGTTGGAAAGGCTCCGGCGAGCCGGCTGGGGTTGCTCTGGAAATGTCTTGCTCTGGGCAGGAACCTGCCACCAGGTTCTGCTGTGGCCAGAACAGACCCCTCAGGGAGCAGGCAGAGCAGCTAGGAGCCCTGGGCTCCTGCAGGCAGGGGCCATGGAGGCTGCAAAGCCCCACAAACCAGACCTCGGGCAGGCATTTCCGAATCCAGGCTGCTCTGGCGGGTCCAGGGCCCCATGACCTCCTCCCAGCTGGAAGGAAACTCTTCGTCATCGTCAGCTAACAAGCTCCCCCTCTCCCCCCTCCCCAGGAGGAGGAGGGCCACGGGCCATGAGGGGTGTTCAAGTCACTCTTTCTCATGAGAGGCCTTCCTGGCTCCAAAACCAGCGAGAAAAGAACGGGGAGACTGGGCTTCCGGCTGGAAAGGGCCTGGCCTAGGCAGCCAGCGTCCTTTCAGGCCAAGGCCTGACCGCCTCTCTCTGCCAGTGGACTTGAGTCTGGGCTCCCTGCAATGTGCTCAACACCCTTTGCAGGGGCTAGGGTCTAAAATCAAGAGCCAAGGAGAAGGGGAGAGGGGGAGAGGGGAGAGACAGAGGGAGAGGGGTGGAGAGACAGGGAGAAAGGGAGG